CCCCACGTCCCAAGCAGTAGTCTCTCCCTCTACACTGCTGACCTCCTCCACAAGCCCCACTTTATGGATACCCACAAACGGCCATACACAGTTCATCCCTCCAGACATGAAGGATACGAGAAAGAAAAGAACACAGAAGAGGATCTAAGGAATGAAAGGGGAGAAGAGAGTCTCCACCCATTCACAAAGTTCACTGCTGACCCTTAGGAGTACCTCAGTTCTAAGCCCACCCCAAACTGGCACCCCCGTCAGAAACACGCATGGTCTGTGAAGGCGCTGCAGAGCACAGCAGCAAACTGGTGCGGACACAAGGGAAACGCGGCCTGAATACCCGGCATATCTTACCTCCTTCCTCCTTGACTTCTTCACTGGCTTCTCCTGCAAAAGGCTCCTTTGTGAAAGGATGATCACCTCTGTCTTCTTGGGTAACTGGCCTGGGCCTGAGTGTCATTTTCTTCCCTCTCCTTGAGCCAGTGGCCTGGAGGTTTTCTTTACCAATGTGTGGATTAAGGAGCTGGGGAGACTCCAAGGACGGTAGGGTGAGTCCCTTAGAGATGGCCCCATCAACAGCTTCTGGAACTGGTGCACTTGGGTCCTGGCTGAGTCCCCTAGAGCTCAAAGACGGATCCTCCACACCAAGCTGATTGCCTGTATCCTGCACAGACTGAACCTCGAGGCCAGCTGCTCTACTGTGACTCGGACCCCAGGACAGAGACACGGATCCCAAGTCTTTAACCTGCTCAGATTCTGGTCTAACGGCTGACTCTGGGTCTAAGTCACCTTCCTCCTGGTTGCCCTGATGCTGTGGGGACTCAGTCAGTGTAGTTCTTCTCTTCTTACTGGGCAACATTTTAAAAGTCCTACTTTTGTTCCATTCTGAAAGGATAAAAGCAAGTTCTTATCACCCTCATATTAATTGTGATAATAGTATTTCCTCAAACATCTTGTCACTTACTCGTGCTCAATCATGAGCACAGTTCTTTACACCAAATACACAACCTCCGGTTAGGTGAGAGTTGAGAGACAGCAGTTAGAGCGCCTGAGTTGAAACTGTAACTCTACCACTGATCAGTAAGTTCTCTTGGCCAAGTGACTTAACCTCTCTAATCTTGTTTCCTCAACTGTAAAAAACAATTGTTGCTACCTCACAGAGTTGTTACATAGTAAGTGATGAGTGTTCGTTATTATTATTAACCATCAGGAGGGTAGAATAGCAGGATCCTGAGAGCAAACTGTGAGTCAAACTGTCTGGATTTGTTTCCGGAGTCAGCTTCTCTCCAGCTTTGTGACCCTGTGTAAGTTACCTAGCCTGAATCTCACTTTCTTCAGCTAAAAAATGAAATCAAAACAGCACCTACATCATTAGATAGTAATTTATTAGATCAATAACTGTCTTCTGTTGTTGTTTCCATAAACAGGTATTTCCATTAACAGAAACAATCCAAAAGCAAAGTGCAGCTGTTTGAAGAGGTTAGACCACATTAAGGGAATTTTGTGTTGAAAGCGAGAGATTCCCACCGTTCTCTACACTGTTGCTTCTGGACTCTTGGCTTCGAATTCCAATGATCACATTTTAAAGGCAACACTAACCTAAACTGGAAAGTATCTTCTTTTATGTTATAGCACCTATTCGCAGATGTCTTTGATAGTATGTATCACTTCTGTGATTGCCTCTAGTTTTCTTCCCAGCTCCCCTCCCTCCAAAACTATGTACTTTTTCAAGAGGACTCTTTCAAAGAGTGCTAGTACTCGGGCAGATACTGCCCTACAGCAGACACTCAATGAACGTTCCCTGAATAAATGAATGAATGAAAGGGGGCGTGCATTTCCTATTCTGTGCTTACTCCTACGCAGCATTTGGACCAAGAGTTAAGCATTATATGGAAACCGAGTGCATCTTCCTACCCCTGAGAAAACTTTACTTGATAAAACAGGTCCAAGAATAGAATAAGCTGCTTTGTATTACAGTGAGTTCTTCATCACTGACAATGTTCTACCAAAGGCTGAGGGCCCATCTATCAGGGCACTAGATGAAAGCTTGGACCACAGGGCTGCAGAAGGAAGTTCTTTCTAACGGTTAAGAGTCTGAACTATAGGGCCGGCTGAGNCACATTCATATAAAAATTGAACAAATATATAAATAAATGAGGGACAAGGGATAGCTCTTCTTTACAGAAAAATTCCAATTAATAAAGGTCGAAGGAATAGGAGAAATTGAAAATCACCATTAAACGACACCATACTAATTGTTAACAGGCGATCCACCAAGGGATGTTAAAATTAGTGGTCAAAAGTTTGAGGGTAAACAGGATATGTGCAGTTTCAAAGTATCTCCTGCAAGATACGTAGTAATTACAAAAGGAATAAAGGCAAACAACAGAATAATGAACCAACATTTTACCAAAAAAATCTACAAATGGCAAATAAACACATGAAAATATGATCTATAGCATTATTCATTAGGGAAATGCAAGTTAAAACCACAAAGAAACCGACGTACTACAGTGAATAAAATTGAACTCTGACAACTGCTGGCAAGGATGAGGATCAACTGTAAATCTCACACATTGCTGGTGGGAACCCAAAATGGTGCAGTCACTTTGGAAAACAGTTTGGCGGTTTCTTATAAAGTTAAACATACACTTACCATGAGCCCCAGCAACGCCACTCCTAGTTATTTACCCAAGAAAAATGGAAACTTATGTCTATCAAAGGCCTACATGAGACGGCAGCTTTAATCACACAGGCAGAAACTGGAAACCCAAATGCCCATCAGCTAGTGAACAAAAAAACAGATTGTGGTGTATCTATGCAATAGAATACTACTGCGCTACGAAGACGAACATGAATGGATCTCAAAAGCATTACACTAAGTGAAAAATACCAGATGCAAAAGGCTACATACGCTATGTCAACATATATACACATGACACTGTGGAGCAAAAGTGTAAGAACAGAAATGAGATCAGTGGTTGCCAAAAACTGAGAATGGAGGCCTGCAAAAAGGAATGGGGGAACTTTGAGGGGAGGAAAGTGTTCCATACAGTGACTGTGGGGGTAATTATACATTTTTCAGAACTCACTGGATAAGTTTTATTGCATGTAAATGATCACAATAAAGTTGACATTAAGAATCAATATCTCAGGCCGGCTGAGTAGCTCAAGAGTGCGAGCTCTAAGCAACAGCAGTTCGATGTCCGCCCAAGCTGAGCTGCCGCTGAGATGCCAACAAGTGGCAGGATGGCTCACCTGGTAAGAGCACGTGCTCCTAACAACAAGACTGCCTGTTCGAGATGGTGGACTACACCTTCCCACAACTAAAGATTAACTCGGCACCATGAGCTGAGCTGCGACCCGGATGGCTCAGTGGATAGAGCGTGCACTCTTAACAACAAGGCTGCTGGTTCGATTCCCACATGAGATGGTGGCTACGCTCACCCGCAACTAATTGAACACAGCGCCTTGAGCTGAGTGGTGCAACTGGATCTGGAACTGAGCCTGCTCCACAACTAAGATAGAAGGACAACAACTTGGCTGCTCCCCTTCCCCAACTCCCTAATAAAATATTTAAAAAAAAAAAGAAGAAAATGTAGGATATTCAAACAACAGAATACTATATAGCAATAAAAATGAGTAATCTACAAGCACATGCAACAATGTGGACCAATTTCATAAACATAATGCTGAGTAGAAAAAGGCAGTCAGGAAACACACACATATGATTCCGGTCACATGAAGTACAAAACAGGGGAACCAGTCTATGCTGCTGAAGTCAGGGTAATGATTACCCGTGGGTAGGGTGCTGGAAGTAACTGAGAGGGAGGACTTTGGGGTACTCATAATATTCAATCTCTGAAAATTTGGAGAACTTGGATATCTTAGGACAGGTGCAGTTTTCTGCATATTATACTTCAAGAGGG